CGAAGAAATAGAGATTAAACGGGTTACAAGTCAACCGTGATGAATCTTTTGTACGGCCAACTTAGCTAATGCATTCAGGAAAAAAGCGATGTTAAAACTGATTATTAGTTTAACCAAATGAATTTACAATGAGCATGATTTTGAGAAAATAAGATCTTAAAAAAGAACTGTCGTCACTTTATATTGCTTAAGGTGATGAAAGACTGATAGGGCGTTTTATAACAATTACCATAGCGTCGAGAAATATGTTAGCGCAAGAATAAAGAGCCCATCCTCTTCTATATTACACTCCAACAACACTGATGATTATTAATTGATTACTAGAACATTCTCAGGCGTCACAATACCTATCACAAAGATTCTTATAAACTAGCATTTTGGCTTTGCTTAGACTAATTATAATCCAGCTCTTGTGGCCCAAGGAGTAGTTTTGCTTCAGTCTCTCTTTCATCCGTTTTGAGTTTGAGGTATGCGACTCTAGGCCAAAAGTTTCGCAAAAATGAATTCATTCTCCTTATTTATCTGTATTATCTGTGAGATATTTGTGCATACACGGACTACCGGTTACGAGCATTTGTTCATATTCTACGACACGGCTTTGAAATATACGATATAAATTTTTCGTTTTATAAGTAAAGTTTCGAGATTCCCAGTAAATCATTAGTATAAAACGTATTCACTCTATCTCGTTTAAGATGATGAATTTTCCCACAATTATATGAGTAGAGCTGATGCTTCCATTGAACTTCAGATAGTCTTGCTTTCCCAAAAGGCGTTCTTATCCAGAGTGGACTGCAGTCCCTACCTCAACTAGGCATTACCAACGCCAAAGCAGGACTCGAACCATTACAGGGTATAATCTCGGAACGTTAACCACTACGTTACATTGCCACGAGTGCTATTGGGTCACATGGCGTTAATAAGACCTAAGCGAGGTCGAAACTGCAATCCACCATGGACAAGAACACCTCATGGGAAATCAAAGCTATGCGAAATTAAATGGAAGCGTCAGCTCTACTCATATCATTGTCGGAAAATTCAACTACCAGTTCTTCGTCACCTTAAACGAAATAGGGTGAATACATCTCATATACAACATAAAGCCTAAAAAATCGGCAGTATTAGTGTTCAGCTGAAAGAGCATAGTAAACATTTATACCTGTAGTGTACTAACCAGACCACTGGCTATGGAGGAGACTTTGCCAGCCACTCTAGTGACGCTCTGTCGGACACCATCCTTAATTGATCCAAGGTCAGTAGTAACCCCAAAGGAGTTAGAATCTGTGTTTCGATCAGGACGACCAAAATACTGGTCACTGGATATAGCAGAAGAGCCTGCAAAACGAGAGCTAGCATCACCTGCATGATAATCAGAGCGCTGAAATAAGGAGATATGATCAGATAAGCATTGTATAAATAAGTGTTATTGAAAGAAATGATGTCAAAGACGTGAAGAAAACATGAAAAATCGAGAATACAGTTTTGCTTCCTGCTACGAATGAAAAAAAACTTGAAATTACAATGAATGCAGGGTGGAGGACGGCAGACACTATCTATCATTTGACAAGCCGCACATTCGAGAATTTACAATTGATATATTATTAATGCTAAGTGTAAGTCAGGGATTTTTTTAATGACACTTTATTTTAGCACAAAAAGCCATTAATATACTAGTGCTTTATCCCTACACTTTCCAATTTAATCTTTAGTTTAGTTGCATCACGAACGTAGCCAACTTCGGATAGAGAGATTATGTGAGAGCATGACTAATCTTACCTCTTCCTTTCGCGTCAACTAATCAAAGCTTTGCACCGTACCGTCCAATCCGAAGTCGATGCAGAAAATTACACAAATGTATATAAATTAGCAAACACACTCCCTAGATTGGTCACTTTTTCTCCCTTAATTCTTTTTATCCGCTCCACTATGACCTGCGAAGTTCGGACTTTTCTATTACACTCTGCCTTCAATGATTTCCTTTATACTGTCAGCCACGATACTGTAATCTAGCTGTATATAAATAGGATACTTGAGAAACCTATTTTTCCTTTTTCGTTTAGGGCGTCCAACTTTGGAATTGTAGAGTTCAAGCCCTTGATATTTAAGAGACAGCCCCCGTCTTTCGAAACACAAAGATCTAGTAAGGTTAGATAGGTCTTTCAAAGTGATTTACAATCGAATTACTAGATCAAGTAACAATGATAAAACATCATTTTTTGTTTTTATAAAGGGAGTTTGGGAAAATTCAACTACCCTTTATCACCATAAACTAAATAGGATGAATAGATCGCACGGCAGCGAGCAAAAGCTACATGTGAAAAAATTCAAGTGAAGATTAAGTAGAAATTGATGCACAGTAAAAGTCCGATTTTACAAAATTTTTAGCAAAATGTTCCATAAAATACTTACCATGGTTTAAG